TGCCTCCGGAACCGCCGGCGTGATTGCCTGGAGTCGGGTCTGAAAGGCTGTCAGGCTAGTGGGATCGCCAGGTCTCCGGTTACGAATGCAGCTGCGATGAACGAAGCTTCAGCTTCGATAACATCGAAGGAAGGAGCATTTTCCTGTTCGGGCGGTTGTGGTCGTGAAGCGGCAGCTGTAGGGCTCGGTTGCCGTGAGGTGGAGGGGGTTTATATCGAGAGTGGGTGTTGTGTTTTATTTGCTAAAGCAGAAGCCAGTACCAATGCAGCGTTAATCTATCTTACGTTTAGCTTTTAGTATCCTGTCATGCTCTTCAACGCTGCAAAAGAATTTATTATGCAGTAACAAAGTAACACGAAGAAGACACGGTTAAAATTGAAATCAGACTCTGATAGATATCAGACAGAGCCAGAGAAGATCGGCACTTTATAAAGAAGCCTGATGTTATTTTTACTGTGATAGTAATTACAGCCAAGCTATCAAGAGGTTTCAATTATTAGATAAAGTTACATAATTGGAAGTTTGGAAACATACATTTGAGTGGCCTGTTGAATCTGGAGATTGAAAACGTATGTTCAAAATAGTTTAATAATATAATTCTGGACACCGTTGCTTAAAGAGCTTTAGAATAACAGTGAGTTTACTTATCTTGTTTTACGAGTGAGTTCTCAAAGCATTCATCCGGGATTACTACGAAGCTGAAAGTGATTGTGTGATGGGGAAAATGAGATGTGATCTAGCAAACAGTATATAAGCTGCTGAATAGCTACACACATATTAAAGCTTGTGGATTTCTGGCAGCTGGTTCTAGAATGGTTTACATTGTGTATCGTTTTGTTTCTTCTCTGAAATTTCTTCGGTTGGTACTTAAAATAGCAAATATATAATTTCTTATCATTTTTTACATTACAAAAGACTTTTAAAATTATTTCTGCAGTGATAGCTTATGTATAAGTATGTGAGCACATTATAAGAAGGCTAGTTTCTTGAATGACACAGTATTTTTTTTTCTGTCTTGGA